TGGGTTTGAAATCGTGATCCTCTTAACTCAGCCACCGGAGATGCTGGGATTGCATACACTGATTCTTAAGACAACCACCTACACACCTTTATACAGTCACAATCATACACAAAGAGGACACACAGAGCCAGGCAATCTACTCACAACTGTGACACAGTTATTCCCTTATAGTCATAAGCTCTTCAAACCATCACCCCAAAATACACTATACAGTCAAAATCGCACAACCACACCAGGGGGACACACACAAACAATAAAATTCTACATCACCCAGTCATAATTGAACATTCACTTTGGAGACATTCAGTCACACACTAGCAAAGGCACTCCATACTCTCATACACAGTAGCACACACTGTCACAGTCACCATTTATCTCCGTCACACACCCCCTTTAAGGAACACAACAGGGATATACACGCACGGTGTCACCCAAGTCACCGGCATACGACAATTATACAGTTTACCACATACGGCCACAGAGTCATACAGTCGGACACCCTCACCGGTCAGTCACAAGCATCCAGGAACAAGGCAGACACGCACATACACGCAACAGGGACGCACATGTCATCACCCCTACAGTTACAAGGATTCGGCACCACAACACGCAGTATCACTCATGGATATATAAAAACAACCAGACATACACCTTAGAGACAGGCGATGACAACCGCAAACTCAGAGGCAGCCACACCCAGTCACCTAACCACAAAGACACAATCAGAATCGCGCATTCTCGGTCTGCTCCCGCCTTCGCGCACAGACCCAAGGCTCCGGACACGCCCCGTCCCCGCCCCGGACTACCAGACCCCTCACCTTCGGCCTCCTCTGGTGGCGTCCGGGTCCTTATGGAGCTAACGATCTCGTCACGACGTCAAGAAAGACGTAACATTGGGCCGCTGTGGACTCTGGGAAACGTGGTCCAGCGCCAGACCAGCCATGGACAAGATGGAGTCTTCTCACTTCTGAGTCTTGGCTTGGCCCGTTTTGAGACTGCACTGTGGAGGCATTAAGGAGAGAGTTTCCACTCCAGACATCCCAGCAGGTTTGAGTTCATCTGAATCCAAAAAAGGACCACTCACCTCAAGAACCCCAAATTCACAGGAGGACGCTGTCAAGGTTGTGTGGGGGATGGGGACAGAAAGATAGAGAATCGACCAGCAATGCCTTAAGGGAAATGTAGTCCAAGACCGGAAAAGCGGCGTTGCTGGTAATACAAGGTAATCGCACAGCCTGGGCCTGGTTCGCGCATACTCCGGGCGGAGTCGCGAAGACTTCTGGGAGTGCTCACTCTCTCTCGGAGTGCGCAGGCGCGGGCCACCGAGTGGACATTTTGGTCTTTGTCCGCGGGTCAGGACGGTCTCTTGGTCCACGTGGCGTGTAAGTAGGAGGTGGGATCTGGGCGTTTTGGGTCGGTCGGGCTGGGGAGGTTGAAGGGTAGGATTCCCAATCGTTAGGGCCGCGGCGCGGGATTGGGGAGTGGGTTTAAGAGCTTCTGGCCTACGTGTGAGCGGAGGTGGGGCCCTCTGAGGAGGGTTCGAGCGTGTGTGACCCTGAGTTTGACCGCAAAGTTTGTCCCGTTGTTTGGAATCGTTGAGTGAATGTGGAACTGGTGCGGAATTGTGTGTGATTGCGCCTGAGGAGTACATGTGGAGACCAGCATTGAGGTGTAACGTCTAAGCCGAACTTCCCGTGTCGAAAGTGCTGATGACGATAACGTTGCCATCTTCCTGGAACACCTATTTTACTTGAGGGTTGGGGGGGTATTAGTGAATAATTTTAAAACGATTTTTATATAAAACATTTATTTTCGATTGGATAGTACCCTGGCTTACTAAATATTTTTAAAACAGTATTTCAAAATAATTTTTTTATCGTTGTTACGGGGTTCTGGTTTCAGATTTCCAAATCCCCTCATCTTTAGGGTATTTTAATGTGACTGCTAGGCAAATTCCTAGACTATCGTTTCACTTTGGGTAGAAGTGGGCAAAAAGCTCAGCAAAAGGAAGTCAGGTTGTAGATAAAGTACAGTTATCCTCTTTGATGAAAACTCAGTAGTTGAGATGCTCGTACGATGT